AACCCCAACTATTAATGATTGTTCTTTTTGAACAACGTTCGCATTCTGATTTACAAAATTCATACTCTTGAAATATGCAATCAGTGAAAAAAAAAATTTTTCTAATAGTAGGAATTTTAATATCATATTCCTTACTATTATACTTTAAAATCATCTTGTCATCATCGTTCAAATCTTGAGTTATATATTCAAGTTTATTCTCACTATTATAACCTTTGAATTGTATTTTTTTTCTTTTAATTCTATCATATTGAAAATAATATTTAGTTTTTTCGACAGGATTATAATCCTCGATAGTATTTGTGCATGGAGTAAGAATATATTTGATTCTGTGAAATTCGAATAATGAAAGATAGAGATGATACCATTCACGACAAACTAATTTGATTGGTAAAGTAGTTAATAAATCAGATATAGTTATCTTGTCTGAGAAAATTTGGTAAAATATCAAAAGTAGAATTTCGTTTGGTAGTTCATTGATTGTTGTCAACTTTATGAAAGTCATGATTGAGCAGATAAAAGTCTGCTCGGTTAAAACTGAGCAGATGAAAGAATAAAATAACCTTTTACTAAATTAAAAGCAAAAGGTCCTCAATATTATATTTACGAGAAGTCCTAGAAGATTGAAAATGTTAACAACTCTTACAATTATCAAAAATAGTAATGTAAAAAAAATCCGAAATAGAATTATCAACTAAATCACGACTACTATAATATCTTCGCATAGACCCAGCGATAACAAATTTCTTTGTCATTTGATTAAAAGAAAAAAGAGGAAGAAATTCATAGTCATTATATTTTAATTTTAAAATTATCTTTCCATTGAAATAATAATAATAATATTCTGTTTTTTTGATATTCACTTCAGAATTTACCCCATTCTTAATACCACGTTTTCTCTTTCTATATCGTCGTGTAAGAATGTATTTGATTCCGTGAAATTCGAATAATGAAAGATAGAGATGATACCATTCACGACAAACTAATTTGATTGATAAAGTAGTTGATAAATCAGATATAGTTATCTTGACTGGGAAAATTTGGTAAAATATCATAAGTAGAATTTCATTTGGTAGTTCATTGATTGTTGTCAACTTTACGAAAGTCATGATTGAGCAGATTAAAGTCTGCTCGGTTAAAACTGAGCAAATGAAAGAATAAAATAACCTTTACTAAATTAAAAGATCAAAAAATTGAGTATAAACCTCAATTTTACATTTATGTTTTTTCTGACAAGATTGAAATTGCTGACAACTCTCACATAAAAAAACATTATCAAACACAATATGATCAGGATAAATTTCACTGACTCTTGATTCATATTCAGTATAAATATGTTTCAAGTATTTTTTGTCACAAGTTTCACCTGATCTTGCACGTTTGATTTTTCGATTAACTGTAGTCGTAAATTTAGGTTTAATAAAAGCCACTTTGTCGATTTTTACTTTATCTTTGGATATTTCATCATCAACCAAATTCTCAATATATTTCTTTTCCAATTCATTATCAACGTTGGTATTAAAAATTTTGATATCTCTAATAGTCCTATCTTCGATCAAAAAATCGACTCTTGGTAGATTGATCATTCGTTTCTTGTACAAATTAAAAATTTCTTTTTGAATGAAAAGAGAATTATAGGTTTGATAAAACAACGTTAATTCCACAGGAATTTCGAGGCTTGCTTCAATACGACGACAGACAGAGAATCCTTTCAACTTGAGATACATTTGAAACATCTTTGCACATGTAGTCTTTCCGGCACCAATTGATCCTGTGAAAACAATGATTTTAGGTTTCTTGTTAAAATAAATGTAAATGTAAATAAAAAAAATAATTATAAGATATATAAAAATAGTAAAGATAAGAAAAATAAACAGGTTTTGCCATTTTAACTCGGTAATTTTATTAAAAACAAATTTTAACATTGTAAAAATATCTGAATAAAGAGTTTACGTAGAAAAAAATCTACTCGGTCAAAGGACTGAATAGGTTATTTGGTTAAATTATATGGAATAGCTCTATGTACATTTCTGTTTTTCCGAATAATAATCTTACCAATAGAAACATTTGTTCCGAGTGATTTGATTATATCAAAAGTATCGGCTTTATAATCAAACAATTCTATTTGATCATTATCATCATCATATTCGAAAAAACTCTTGATAATATCTACAAACTCCTTTTCATTACAGATTTTGATATTCTTTTTAGAAGTATATGCCCAATGTTTTGCTTTTGGAGTAGCAAATTTTTCATTTAATTTTTCACTATTGTAAACAATAAGACCTAGAGAATCTGAAGAAAACCTCGAAAGTGCCGATTCAAACATCCTTACAATCTGAACCGTTATAGGCATTTCCATGTTTTTACATTGAATAAGGATGAGTTTTTCTTTGTATGTAATGATAACATCAATTCCATTATCTTCTTGAGTTACTCGAATTCATGACCAGATTTATAATTTGATATCTATTGATAAATAAAAAAATATGAGTATGAAAATTCTCTTCACCAAAGTTTGCAGTATGAACATCTCAGAGATATAACTCTAACTCCCATATCAGTTTCTCGAAAAATAATAAAATATATCCTCATCATATATGCTTTCAGAATATATTCCTATTTTTCTATGGCAGCGTAATTCGAATTCACAAATACAAAGTAGTTTGGAACGTCCAACTTACTTTTTTCACAATAGTCATTTTTACGTAGTTAAAAATCTGTTCGGTAATATAATTACTGAACAGATATA